AGGAATGAGGGTGCTTTAGTCCTCTGGAAAGCAAATTGCCCTGGATTTGAATCAGTCTGCAGAGGGGGTAGGAATGGGACTTTTGCATCTCCAGGTCAGGTCAGGGTCATTAAGCTGCATCTCTGTAGGTAAGACTCTGAACCACACCAATCGATAGATTTATAGTTAATTCAGCCACCCACTGCCTAGTTCACTCAGGCTCTGCTTCTTGTGTCTCCACAACAGGGACAGGCAAAATACAGCCTGTGGGCACTCACCAAGCACTTTCAAATGACCCACGGGGACCAGGACCAGCAAATTGTACCCTGTCTAGCCCTTCCACCCATGAGGATGGGAGCAAGGCGCCCATGTGCACACACTGCTCCCCCACCCGGCCCAAACATACTCTATTGCACCTCACTCCCACCCTCATGGGCAGAAGCACCTGGCCTGGCCAGGAGGCAGCTTTCAGGTAGGGCTGTTGCCTCCACTGCTGTAGCACCTGAGGACCTGCTCTGCTTCGCCTCCCGGGTGCTCCAGGCAGCAGGTAGGGAAGTGGCAGAACTGCAAGTGGGCAGGAGCATGGGGCTGGGCTGATGGCAGAAAGGAGCCCTTGCCCAGGGGGGCAATGGGAGTGTGAAGCCCAGGTGGGCAGCATGTGGGTGTGAGGGAAGGTGGTGGGGGTGAGGGAATCTCCCCACACTCCCCACATGGCATGCAGCCCCAGCAGGTGGTGGCAGCAGCAGAAGCAGCAGGTGGGGGTGCTCGGGGCGCTCATGCCTGGTGCTGGTGCCCGGCGGGGCCAGTGCTGCACATTGTGGTGTGGGGTACAGCCTCTGCCAGGTTGTCTCTATCACTAGTGCTCCCTGCCACACACACGGAGCTCCTACACTCTCGTGGCACACGAGGGAAGTGCCAGACACTGGAGCTGGCTGCCTTCCCCGCCCCCCAGGAGCAGTATTGGCCAGAGTTGCACCCCACCAGGTACCAGTGCTTGCACCAGGCATGAGCACCCCGAGCAACCCCATCTGCTGCTGTTATACCATGGGAGGAATGTGGGGGTCCCCACAACCTCCCAACCTCCCTCACACCCCACAAATGCCATACACCCACACCCTTCCCCCACAATCCCCTACATTTACATAACCCCCAATATACCCTATGCCTTCCACACACACAGCCAACCCCCTCACAAACCCCCACACCCAACCATACACACATGCATACATATACCCAGCCACACCCCTCACAATATAAAAGACTAAAAATTTATTTTTGAGTTACTATGCAATCACCTCAACATATAGTACACAAGTCATGACAAAATATTTTTTGTAATAAAATTAAAATATGCTATAGTACGTGTTTGACTTTTAGTGGATGATTTGTTTTTTTTTCTGGTTCTAAGATGGCAAACGTGCCCCAAGGAGTATTTCCGGGGGCAAGGGGAGGGACTCCTGCCAGCAGAGGTCAAGGGTTGGACCTCCAGTGGTGACTGGGGGTGAGGCAACTGTTAAGGGGCAGGGCTACCCATGCAGTCCTTGACAGCTCACCAAAACTCATTAAGTGACCCTCCAACCAAAATAATTGCCTGCCCCTGCTCAAGGACCCTCACCCTCTACTGCAGGGCCACTAGTTAGAAAGCGCCCACCTCTGTTCTACTTTACCCACCTCTAACCTAGGCGAGAGCAGATTTCAACAATTAGTCTTCATTTGTTCATGGATTTTATCTTATTCCTCACTACCAGTGGCATCTCAAACTTGCTATAGAGACAGTCTGGGATAAGGAAAGTGCCTCAAGCACTCAGTGATCTGTCTTTCT